GCAGATAGCTGAGAGAAAGAAAGTTATTCCTTTTTTTTTTAGAATAACATTCTATTTAAATTAAGATAAATATAAATTTTAACATGGCCTTAAATGGCCTACACAAACATATTTTTAAAGAGAAAATAATTGAATCATAATTTCAAAAGTCCAAAAAGAAGAGCAATCGTTGGAATTACTGATATTTGCTTAAACCCCAAAAAGAATCATGGGAGACCGATCTAGCAGTGCATCGAAGGAAAAGAGATGATACGAGCGACGATCCCGAAGAAATCAATGAGCAAGAGAAGCATATACGTTTCTTCACAAAGAGAACCACAACTCATTATAAAGGAAGATAAAGCCGGTTACATGTCCCGAACACTTGAGATCCGGTTTTTAATAAGGCGATCGCTTTCATATGGATAACAAAATTAGCTGATCTGAAGACTCATATGTTTCAAAATTTATTTTTGACGGGATTTAACTCATGTGTTTAAGAATGATCTATTCCAGTTTGAATTTTGTTGGTATAATATGAGTGATTTTTTCCAGTCTATTTGTCAAAGTTTGCTAAAATATAAATGGGAGAATGACGCTAAACAAACTAAAAATTTAAGCATTGAATATGTGTAGTTAAAATGAATTATCACTTAAGTAACATTGAAAACATCAAACTAATATCATCAATTGCAACAAAATGATTTTTCAAGTATTTGAAGCAGCCTATACCTGATCAATTACGACAACTATTTGTCACATTTCTGATATCTAAATAAGTGAACAATCTTTTTAAATTATGGAAAAACTGCTCGAAATCAATCGGTGAATACCTGTTTAACAAATTAAGAAAGGCAAAACTTTCGATTTTCATAGGCTACATTTAAAAGAATATGAGCGCTCACTCGCTGAGTTTAAGAATATGCAATAAGCATAAGCAGATCTAAACCTTACATATATATAAAAGCGCGGAGTGTAAGAACTATTTAAGTTTTAGTTTTATTTTTTTACATTAAAAATATTATTTAATATCTAATTGAACAACAATTAACAAAAAAAATATACTACAAAATATAAATAGAAATAAAACATTAAATTTTGCAAACAAACTTGAAAAAATTAAATAAAATGAAATAAAAAAATTAGAACCTCTTATATAATAGAACATAGGAAGAATTAGTATTTATGGTACACTAGTTATTTTCTTCTCTACAATTACTTCCCTCTTTTATCGTTGTACTTTTGCATTCCTATTTATCGACGTGTAGCTAATTTAAAATAAATAAATCCAAGTATATATCAAACCTATTGATAAAACAAACCCACAAATATAAAATCTAGTTTTACTATAATAATTAACGGACCGAGACAAATATAACAAATACTTTGGTTAAACCTATAATTTATGATGACTAATTAGCGTATAAGAATTGATTAAACCAAGTTTTGCTGCTTTACCAAATCAGTAAAAATCAATGATTTAAAAAGCAAAACTTTTGAAAATGATTGCCACCGATCACAACAAAAACCCACAAATCCAAGCTTTGGTTTCCCATTATATGTTGACAAAATTCACTCCCTAATGATTCGCAAACACTTTCTTCTTTCACTAGTAACCTTAGTGAAATACAGAGAAACGACAGCGAATACGCACTTTCTAGTTTCCTCCATTTTCTCTTCTCTTTCTCTTCTCTTCAGTAGCAACAAAAGCTTTTCTCAGAAACCTCTCCAAAAGCTCGCTTCCAATGGCGTTTCCCATAAATCTAATCCTTACC